CTGCTGATTCAGAACCTAAATATACCGTTCGGCAGTGGTTTTATAATTGATCTCTCCCATATGTGTTTACTCTCATTATGGCATTAACAATGCAGTTGCCCCTTTGGTTCTGTAAACTGGGTATGAAGGAAAGCAGAGAGATGTGCCCTAGTCACAACTACAGGAATAATCCCCTCTTCTAATAGTCATTAAGAATGTCTAAGCTTGGGACCAGCAGTTAGCGTAATGGCTATGTCGCTGGACTCCCACGTAGTCGACCTTGGTTCGAGTCCTGGACCCAGTGGCTTAAACTCACACCAGACGCGTGTGCGTACGTGCCCAAGATCCCAAGAGAAGAATGGAGGAGAAGGGACTGCGGCCTGGCCAGCCCCCCTGGGGGGGTGATTTCTCACTTTCTGTCTCTCTGTCTCTCTGTCTCTCTCTGTCTGCTAGCGAGTGCATGCGCCCTATAGCAAAAACCTCTCAAAAAAAAAAAAAAAAGAACGTCTAAGCTTTCCGAAAGGCCCGCCCAATCTCAGTTAGACGGTCCTGATGTAAGGAAGTAATCAATTTGCTAATTAAAACGAGACATGTAATGTGAGATAAAATAATACTCTCTTCCATATACTATTTTGTTTTGTTTTGCTTAGCAATACTCTCTAGTGGGGAGGGATCCAGGTCGTCGACAGCAGTCAGTATAGTTAAAGCTGTAATGCAACATACAGGGATGCTTACTACTTAATCTAAACAATCTTTCCAATTCAAATCAATCTACCGCTCTTAATAGGCAAACATACTTAACTTAATCGAAGACAAAGGAGAAAGGACCTTCAAGGTAATACTCTAATCCCTTTCCCAATAGCCAGGATTATAGAGTTTTATCTCTGCCAAGGATAGCCCCAAGTCAGAAGACAGTTGCAGCATAAAATATATCATTAATTTCCCAGGAGGGATACAGTTCTTCTCAAGGAAACATTCTCTTGTCCTCATAAATTCACAATTGTTCCGTTCAGACATTACTGGAGAGAGTCAAGAATCTTAGTTAAGATTCTGGTGTCTAGAGAAGTACGTATTATTGCACCTACAATTGTTTATTTAAAATAATTTTTTTGTGGTAAGAGAAGATTATTTCAGTGACAACTCAGAGGACATTGGTAGTTGAAATAAAATATTATACATTTCTAGAAGACAATACCTGTTTCTGAAAAGTGCCCATTCCTGGCCCAGATCAGGCCCGTTTCCCAATGCACAGTTAGCCAATTGCTGAAACACTGAGAACTGCAGCAGAGTGGAAGTTTTTTCACAAGGAGAGCCCAGTGAGGCGATGAGATAAAAATCTCGAATTTGCCTGTCTGTAGTGAGGAAGTCTTGTGTACTTCAGGAATTGTTCAGGAGGGAGGTAACTGAGGATGTGGGCAAACATGATTGATGAGAGGAAAATGGTGAAGTAATCGTTAATGCCAGTCAAGTGCCACAGGTCACACATGACATGTTCAAAGAATGACAGTGTTACATGATCTGGAGGTGGAGGATGGAGGTGGGGCTTAGCCCCTCTACATCACAAGGTTGCCCATCATTCAACTGCACAGAACCTGTAGAAGGATACATCGTCTTGGTTAGCTAGCACCAGCTTAGTTTGTTTGGCTAAGGGGCTGACCTCTGTTTCTTAAAAAATAAAATAAAATAAAATAAAACCTTGAACCAAAGAATGTCTTGTCATCCACCATTATTGAGGTATTTTCTTCAGAAGCATAGTGTTCTAGTGTATATTACCTAAGCAACCTGAAGCTGTGAAGCAGCTAATGTATCTAGTCATTGTTTTACTCATTGTTTATAGGCATCAAGCTTAAGTATAAGTTTGCTCGATTTTAACCCTGTGGCTAACTCCTTCCATTTTCACCCTCGATTCACTGATGAATTTTATAGACGTATGGCCATATACCAGTCAGTTTGGTAGTCTCTACTCCTCAGATCTGAAAAAGAAGTAAATGTCACCAAAATGTAAACAGGCATCAGGGACTCTCGTGGGAGCAAGCTCCAGGGTGACCATATGTTGCCTGGTACCACACTACCTGAAACACCTGAGCCTGCCTCTCATGTACAGCCCAGGCACCTCAAGAACGGATCATCGCAGTTCAGTGAAATTATGAAATTGTGCTTGCTGCTTGGGAGAGAAAAAATGAGCACAGTTTATAAAGAAGTTCCATGAAAAATAAATAAATAAATAAATAAACAAACAAACAAACAAACAGTTAAAAGCATAAAGGTTCTAACCTAGAAGTAAGGGGTAAATGTTAGACGCTATGTTTTTTTTCCCATTATTATTTCATTCAGTCAATCTCTCTCTCTCTCTCTCTCTCTCCTCTCTCTCTCTCCCTCCCCCTCTCCCTCCCTCTCTCTCTCTCTCTCTCTTTCTCTCTCTCTCTCTCTGTTTGTCTGTGTGAAGAGAGAGTGTGACAGATAAGACAGAGCTACGAAGAACTTTCTTGCTAATCATAATCAAGTTTTCTAATACATATTCCCTTCTAGTTGCCCTATTCCTCCTAATTATCTTTTAGTTCCATCTTTTCCTGATAATAAGTAGTAGGGTAGGAAGACGGTATAGTTTGTCTTGAGGACAAACAATAAACCAGACAGCTTGCAATATAATTGCACCAGTAACATGACAATTCATTTTGGAAGTGGTTGTTGAAAAGTATTAGCTTTTACTCATATTCTCATCAGTCATCTCCATTATTCAGAAAGATTCAAAAATGAGCCCCTAAGAATAAATAGGGATTAACCTATACACCTCTATTTTGAATTAAAAAAAAAAAAAAAACAAACTCATGGAATACAGCTATTTTTTTCTGAAATAGCATTTGTTGGGAACCAGCAGTTAGCATAATGGCTATGTCACTGGTCTCCCACGTAGTCAATCGTGGTTCGCGTCCCAGACCCGGGGGCTTAAAACTCATGCCGGGTGCGTGTGCGTGTGTGCCCAAGATCCCAAGAGGAGAATAGAGGAGAAGGGATTGCGGTGTGACCATCCCCTCTGGGGGGTGATTTCTTGCTTTCTGTCTCTATGTCTCTCTCTGTCTGGCTAGCGCATGTGCCCTATAGTGAAAACCTCTCCAAAAAAAAAAAAAATAGCATTTGTTCCCTCTCCTGCCCACTGCTGTAACCCTGTGCCTTTTTAGATTGTGGTGGGCTGTGAAGCAGAAGCTAGGGGTACGTGACACTCCATGTGTTCTGGAGCTCTTCTCTAGACTGCTCAGGAGGTTAAATTTAACTGTCCTGCTCATAAGGGCAGAGAATTCCTTGACTGATTCTGGAATGCTTTAAAACAATCAATTGCAAGTATGTGAAATTTGGTTAGTGGGACATTGATCTCTGCATCAAATTTTTGGGCACAGGAATATAGTTTAACAAGAAATAAATTAAAAACAAAAATTTAAACTTATTAGAGAAACTGTTTACACATTTATTTCTCTTTTTTTTTGCATTTCAGAGGGTCATTTGAAGATTCTACAACAAGATTTTACACAGCGTGTGTGGTAGAAGCCTTTGCCTATCTGCATTCCAAAGGAATCATTTACAGGGACCTCAAGCCGGAAAATCTCATCCTGGATCATCGAGGTTATGCCAAACTGGTCAGTGTGTTTCACATAAGATTGCTTGCTGCCCTGTAGTTTTAGAATTTTCATTTATAGTGCTGTGTTTATTTGTTACATTAAAATCTATTAAAAATCTGTTTTCTTTTTTAATTATAACTTTTCTTATGAGCATGTTTTGGCATTACAGTTATTTTGTTTTGTTTTTTATTTGTTTGTTTGTTTGTTTTTAAGAGGTTTTTATGCTAAGTGTCTATGCAATCACCAGAAAGAGAGACAGAAAGACAGAAAGTGAGAAACGACACCTTCCCCCCCCCCAGACGGGATGGCCATGCCACAGTCTCTTCTCCTCCATTCTCCTCTGGGGATCTTGGGCATGCATGCACACGCACTGATGTGCGTTTAAGCCACAGGGTCCAGCACTCGAACCACAGTCGACTAAGTTGGAGTCCAGCGACATAACCATGACGCCATCTGCTGGTACCGGCATTACAGTTTTCAAACTACGCAAAAGTTATAGACATTTAATAGGCTAGGTTTAAATTAATAATACTCTGGCAAAACATGTTTTCTGACAAGAATTAGAAAGCATGCTTGCTGCCATGTCTTTGAGAAGTAAAAGAACTTATAGAAGTCCTTTTGTTCCCTAGTCAGTCCTCCTCTAGCCAAAGGCCATAGATTTTATTTAAAGAAAACGGAATCATTTTGGGACCAGCAGATGACATAATGGTCATGTTGCTGGACTCCCACATAATTCCTGTTTCTAGTCCCAGATCTGGCAGCTTAAAAGTCATGCCGGCACACATGTGTGTGTACCCAAAATCCTGAGAGGAGAGTGGAGAAGGGATTATGGCATGACCATCCCCCCAGGAGGTGATTTCTCACTTTCTGCTTCTTTTTGTCTCTCCAGTGAGTGCACGTGCCCTATAGCAAAAATTTATCTAAAACAAAAAAGAGAAAGCTGAATCACTTTAACATTTTTGCTTAAAAAAATGTTAATGAATAAAAAAAAAAAATTGCCTTTGTGGGTAATGTAATACAGGCTATGATGATGATGGTAATAGCACTAATAATTAGCCAAAAGCTCCAAAGATTTACCATTGAAGTAAAATTCTCTTACGTAAAAATGCTCAACTTTTGTGGGCCTTGGATTTGTCAGTGCCTGATTCTATGTTTAAACATTTTTTTTTTTTTGGAAAGGTTTTTGCTATAGGGCGCGTGCACTCGCCAGACAGACAGAGAGAGACAGAGACAGAAAGCGAGAAATCACCCCCAGGGGGGATGGCCATGCCGCAATCCCTTCTCCTCCATTCTCCTTTTGGGATCTTGGGCACGCACGCACACGCGCCCGGCGTGAGTTTTAAGCCACCGGGTCCGGGACGCGAACTGCGGTTGACTACGTGGGAGTCCAGAGACATAGCCATTACGCTAACTGCTGGTTTAACTCTATGTTTAACCTTTTATAATTTTTATTTTGCATATAGTTTCTAAAAAAAAATCAAATCAATTATTCTTATTTGTAATCTCAACCAAATTTTTTTTAGAAAAAAAAGACTTTTTTTGTATTTGTGGCTATTCAAAAAGTTTCTAGAAAAATGAAAGAAACTTTAAAAAAAATTTTCCCTGTTTATATTAAGGGTAGAGTCATCAGTCCCATAACTATGGTAATTATCTTTTTCAGAAGATGGCTTCACAAATAATTAACACTAAATGAATTGTCAACTTTAGTTAGTCTAGCAGAAATCATGTATATTCTGGGAAAGACATCAAGTTGATCCAACTAATCTTGCTAAATTTTTGAGTAAAGAAGAAATTCTTTATTTAGGTCCAACTTCCATTGGCATAAAAGAAAGAAAATGTATTTCCCGAAAGAAGGTTGGCTCTATTTTTAATAATATGAATTTTCAATTCTCAGATTTTAATTTTTCCCATTGAAACTGAGTTCAATCGAGCAATTTTGTTTGTTTGCAGTATTAGATGATTCCTTTTAGAAGATAGGACTGTTATAATTTGCACCTGTTTTTATTTTTTATTATTGTTATTATCATTAGTATACTTCAGCAAAATAACTTATTGCTTTTGATTTAACCTTAATTATAAGTGGATTGAGTATCTTATTTTTCTCTCTTTGTAAGGTTGATTTTGGCTTTGCAAAGAAAATAGGATTTGGAAAGAAAACATGGACGTTTTGTGGGACTCCAGAGTATGTAGCCCCAGAGATCATTCTGAACAAAGGTCATGACATTTCAGCTGACTATTGGTCGTTGGGAATCCTAATGTATGAGCTTCTGACTGGCAGGTATGGACATTTATAGGGAACTGCAATAAAAATAGACCAGCCAACAGCTACACTCTCCTGCCTTTGTCACTCTAATTAGACCAACACAATTAAAGTGAGCCAAAAAACTTAAAGATTTTTAGAGAATATGGCAGGGCTTTGCTATGAACTACATGGCTTTATGAATGAATGCCAAAGATAGAAAGCAAAGACAAGAAATGACCTATGAGAGGTTTTATAAGGCAATACATCCTGGCAAATTTCCCTTTGCTCCTCTCCGTCTAACCTTCCCTATCCTATTCGTCAAGGTAGCAGGTCCAGTTCAAGGGGGGATAATAATCAGGACTCAAATCTAAAACTTCCCATGGCCCAGTACCCTTCCAGACACAACATATGCACCAATTCCTTTCTTACTTACTGGTTTGGGGCAAGTATTCATGGGTCTTCACCTGATGTAGGAAAAGATGAGTTCATCTATATTTCCAGGTTTAGAGCAGTTCATTCTTTCTAGTCACACGGCATTCATCAGGTGGTTAGTATTGATTGAACTAGGCATGCAACCTGACAGTAACATTTTAAAATGCATTCTTGGAGGTGAATTCCAAAGATACTCAATAAATAATTCCTGAAGTGCCTGCCATAGATACTCAATAAATAATTACTGAAGTATGTCCCTATTTACATGGGTAGATTTCCCATAACTATGAGGGAAAAAAAAAAAAAAAAACCAGCCATAAGATGAAGCTAACACTGATGGAAGATCAAAAAGCTAGAAAGAACCTGGGTCATTGAGTCATTGATCCTCGTAGATAGGCTTGGCAAAAAAAAAAATAAAAAATAAAAATATTGGGAAAAAGAAGGACCAAGTAATTACAGTAGAAATATGATACAGAAGTCAAAGGAAATAGAAAATCTATTATTCGTATGGGACAGAAAAACATTTAATTATATAATAGAAAAATCATGGCAAAATATTTGACTCAGTGTACCTTTTGAACTGCAGTGACCATGGGAAGACTGATTCAAAAGAATGTCACAGTGTATCCCAGTGTGATTTCCTAAATCCGGTTGTAAGAAATAATCATATTAGTATCAAAGCCACAAAAAACATGTCAAGTTATGGTGTTGAATGTGAGAAGGACTAGAGTTCTAGTTGGCTTCAACCTTCTCTACAGCATCTTTAAGCCAAAAAATAGAAGATCAAGAACTATACAATTCTATGTAGAAAAAAAAAGGAAAGAGAATATAACCCTAGTAATTTATAGTAAGTTAAGTAAATCTTAAAATACAAATAAAACATATAAAATGTTCACGTTTCTCCATTTTTCTAAAACAGTACCATATGACCAAATCAACAAAAAGATGATTAAAGAACTCAGAAATAGAGAAATTAGTAAAGGACTTGATGCTGAATTTAGAATCTAATTAATTAAAACTTAAATAATTTAAACTTGGGTTATTGAACAAAATATAAATATTCTAATTTTTGGCAATCTTATTATTAAAACCAAGAAAAACTAAGGTGAAAAGGAGAAGGTAGGAATAATTACAGATTTACTTGTTTATCATTCGTATTTAATAATCTTATACATTTCTTTATAGTTGGATCATTTTATTACAAAAAAGAAGACTCCAAATTTAGAGTTTTTAAAATTTTTCCCTTAATTTTACAGAAATCTTTTAGGAATTAATATTTATGGTGAAGAAAAAATTGTTTTAATTTTAAATTCAGCATTTTTTTCTGTTTTACTGCTCAGCCTATCTAACATACAAGTAAATTGAATACTTTTTTCTTTTACAAACATGTCTAATATGCAGGTCAAAAAGTTTGCAGAAAAATGGAATGAAAGTTTGCAAGTTTAGGGCCAGCCCCTCAGCCTGGTGTTCAGGAGTCAGATCTAACATGACCAACTACATGGTTGGAATTTAGAACCCAGTGACTTAAAAAACGTGACAAGCACATATGCATGCATGCCCAAAATTCTGACAGGATGGAGAAATAGAGATTACAGTGTGACCACATCCCGTTGAGAAATGCGTTCTCTCTCTCCCTTTTCCTCTTTTTCTGTCTCTGGTGAGTGTACATGACCTCTGGCAAAAAAAAAAAAAAAAAGTATGAGTTTATCTTGCTGTAAAAAGAATTTGAAATTTATGCAGTTTTTTCATAATATGCATTTTTCCATGAACTTTTTAAAGACCCCTTGTATAATCCTGTGGGAATCCATCTACATACAGAAATGTATAAAGTTTGGTTCATTAGTTATTTATTATTATTAACATTTAGATATTCAATGATTTATACTTTCTTCTAAGTAATTTTATATTTGACATATACATATCAGATTGATCATGCATCACTTATAAAAAGTACAAAGTAATCTCGGGAACCAGCAGTTAGCATAATGGCTATGTCGCTGGACTCCCACGTAGTCGACCGCGGTTCATGTCCTGGACCCAGTGGCTTAAAACTCATGCCGGGCGCATGTGCGTGAGTGCCCAAGATCACGAGAGGAGAATGGAGGAGAAGGGATTTCGGCATGACCATCCCCTCTGGGGGGTGATTTCTCGCTTTCTGTCTCTATGTCTCTCTCTGTCTGTGTGGCGAGCGCATGTGCCCTATAGCAAAAACCTCTCAAAAAAAAAAAAAGTACAAAGTAATCTTTAATAGATGACTTTAGTTGTCTAGGATAAATATAAAATCAAAACCATAAATTAGAAGACATTAAATTGATAACAAAAAAAATGAAGATGTGGTTTTTTTTCTCATTTTTTAAAGTAAAAATCAAAACTGACAGGTTAATTTAGCAGAGAAAAGAGAATATTCAATCATAAGCACATAAAGAGAGAATTTTAAAATTCTAAGAGAATACTAAATAAGATTGCATGTTTATGCATTTTTAAAACTGATTTAAACGTGGCAGGCAATTACTAGCTAACGACATATTAAAGTCAGTCGAAAGTGCTTGTCACAGAAAATCAAGGCAGATCTCATCAGAGCCTTCAGCACAAACAAATCTCCTTTTCCTATTTTAAATAACTCATTCTTTTTGACCCGCTTGATAAAAGGGAATTATTTGAACTGCTGTTAGTAAACATGAAGGGCAAAAAAATAATAATAAGCTCTAAGATTGCTTCCCCAAAGAGACACGAACCCTATATTATAAGAGTAATTAATTTTAAATAAATCATTTAGAAAGGAATACCATCATCTTCCCTCTGAACTGTGAGAAATTTGAGAAAGGGACCTGACTTTACTCACCTCCGTATTTCTTGATCCTGGTGCAAAGCCACACTCAAAAGATGAATAGGTAAAAAGAAATGCGCATGCGTGGCTCATAAAAGGCTTGACTCTTCTGTTCATTCTGGCTGACAGAGAGGATGCTTGTGCTAGGTTACTTACCGAGGACCGATGAGCAGGGAAGGAAGCCCAGGAGGAGCACTGTCCACTCAAGATTAGTCTAACACCTTTTGACTGATTTCTTACAATAGTAAGTGCTAGGCAGTCGACTCAGCTCAAGGCCTACTAGTGTAGGAAAAGAAATCTAAGTCTGAAAAGAAAAACAAAAAATAATCACACGCATAAAGAGGTACAAGAAGTGCCAAAAAGGATGTTATAAGAAATTATGATAGGGTAGTGATTGAATGTTTAAAAAATAATGAGAATAAGTAATAAAACTGAAAAAAAAAGATGAAAAACTATTTGATAATGATGATGTGGATAGTAATGTCTTTGTCTTCACTGATATGCATGGTAATCGTGCTGGAAAAAGAAATGTAATACACTATACAGTTAAATGTGATGGGAACCAGCAGTTAGCATAATGGCTATGTCGCTGGACTCCCACCCACATAGTCAAACACGGTTCGCGTCGTGGACCCGGTGACTTAAAACTCACGCCGGGCGCATGTGTGTGCGTGTCCACGATCCCGAGAGGAGAATGGAGGAGAAGGGATTGCGGCATGACCAACCCCCCTGGGGGTGATTTCTCACTTTCTGTCTCTATGTCTCTCTCTGTCTGTGTGGCGAACGCACGCGCCCTATAGCAAAAAAACCCTCCAAAAAAAAAAAAAAAAGATAAATGTGATTAAATGTAATATAAAAAGTATAATAATAAATAAAATTAAATAAGTAACTAGAAATTATGATAGGCGGCTCTAAAGTTTAAATTCAAGTATTACATTAGATTACTAGCTTCTGTTAGTTGATACAGGTTATGTCATTGATTACGCTAGACTGATCGGAGTAGGTGTTTAAAGGAAGCAGCAATACCTGAACTGAGACTTGATGGGGACCTCCTGTCTCTGATCCTTCCCATCAAAACTGAGCTGAACCTCCAGGCACAGTAGATAATGCCCCGACATGGGAAAGAGCCAGTAAAAATCCCTGTGTTCCCGAGAAGAGAACTGAGTGAGGGTAGCCCTGGCTGAGACGGGGTGGGATCAGCGCTCTTGTGGCCCATCCCAGTGATTTGGTACCTAAGCCCAAATGGGAACGGAGAACTAATACTGCAGGGAAGGCCAGAGAGTGGCCGAGACATCTTGAATGATCAAGGACAGCGAGAGAAATTAGGTGCCGGCACTGAAGTGAGAGGAGTGGTCGACAAACTCAGTTTTGCTAAAGTGATTTACTGGGAAGGCCTTCCAGACCGTGTTGCTGTAAATCTCTTTTCATTCTATTATCACCACTCTAAGCCCCCAAGTAAGAACTGATGTCATTTGTGGAGTTCATAACCATGTAAGTGTTCTAAACAAAAGTAATTTCTCTTGTCTTGTCTCTCATACTTGCAGCCCACCTTTCTCAGGCCCAGATCCTATGAAAACCTATAACATCATATTGAGGGGGATTGACATGATAGAATTTCCAAAGAAGATTGCCAAAAATGCTGCTAATTTAATTAAAAAACTATGCAGGTGAGTGCTCCCACCATATTGTTTTGAAAAGATCATAATGTAAGAACGATTGTTTAACAAAACTATTTTATTTTTAGGGATAATCCGTCAGAAAGGTTAGGAAATTTGAAAAATGGAGTGAAAGACATTCAGAAGCACAAGTAAGTGTTGTTGTTATTTATTTATTTTTTTTAAATAACTGTGGGTTTCAGAGTTTGGAAAACCTGACGAGCATAGCCTTAGGGTATTGTTTTTTTAAATTATTGGTGTATAACTGATACATTAGCGTATAGGAACAATCAAAGAGAGAGTGTAGACTCTAAAGGCCTTTTGAGTTGTATGTCTGGAAATTAAGATCTATCTTTTAATCCTGTTGCATTTCAAACAACAAATTCGCTGAATTTAATTTCTCCCAATTCACACTAACATTTCTTTCCTCTCAGTCACAAAGAGGAAATATGTATGTTTAATTTTAAAATGTGGTTCTCTACCAGAATATTAAAAAAAAGCCCTCAACTGTATCATAGTTCATTTCCTAGATTAGAGGCTAAGTATGTTTTTTTTTTTTCCATCCATTTACTAATTAAATGGTATAATGGGAGGGGGGTAGTGTACAGTCTTTTTAAAACAATAGCAACATCTTAAATATCAGACCTTATCTAGGTTGACTAGATGTCCTAAAGCTAGATTAAGCCCTAATTGCTTTTACTCCATTAGTTTGTATATATAACCTTCACAGAAAATTCATTTCACCATCAAAGGAATGTATTTACTGGAATACCTGCATCTATCTAAAAGACCTGCTAAGAATTTGATACAAGCATTTGCTGAGGGTGAAATAGCTCAGATACAAACTAAAACAAGCAAAAGAAACCCAGTTTTGTTGAGTCCTCCTTTTCACAGAAAAGTCAAACACAAAATACCTTCATTCTATTAAGAAGTTAAAAAAAAAAGAAGAAGAAAATGTGATACGTAGAAACTAATACAATGCTATGGAAGGGTTAGCTAGCTGAGGCTGTGCATTGAATCAGTAGCAAAGATGGAAAGTTAATTTTCTGATTTCTCATGCCCTGATTCTACCTCGTTAAAATAAAATGTCCTGCAAGGCATGGGGCTAAGCATATTATGAATGTATTAAATGATAATGATAGCATAGGAACAAGGTCACACAGACATCATGACTGAAATTGTAAGAAAAAGAAACAGTTGAATGTGGTCTGCTGCTTAAAATTCAACAATTACACTTTTTCCTTCTTTTTAAAAAAAATTGCTTGGGGGAATGTGCACTCACCAGAGACAGAGAGACAGAGACAGAGAGATACAGAGAGGAAGAAGGAGAAAGCACCCCCATTGGAGAAGGGTCACACTGCAATCCCTTTTCCTTTATTTCACTGTCCTGTCGGGATTTTGGACACACAGACATGAATGTTGAGAGACATGCCGTATTTCTCAAACCACCAGGCAGTCAGTCGCATGGGTTCCAGCTGCCTTAACCACTGGCCACAGAGCTGGCGCAACAAGTATACCTTTTAAAATACATGTTTTATAAAATATACTAATTGAAAAAACTCTTAAATAAAAACGTGTGTGCTACATGAAAATGTTAGCTTGATTGTTCCTATCGGTCATGTTTGTTGCATACCTTGCAATGAGAAGGTTTTAACTGAGGCGAAGTGCCTTTAACTGTCTATGTTTTCTTTTTTTTTTTTTCCCTTTCTTAGATGGTTTGAGGGCTTTAATTGGGAAGGCTTAAGAAAAGGCACCTTGACACCTCCCATTATACCAAGTGTAAGTAGACTCTCCAGCTTATCATTGTGAGACACATTTGATGGCGTTGACCTCAATGAAGAATGAAGAGTGTTATTCTTAATGTTTTAGTCAATGATCAGATTGAATAAACTATAGACATGCACATTAAAATAATAAGATATTCTAAAATTCAAGCTTATAAGCAGATTTGGGAGAGTTAATATATATATATATATATATATATATATATATATATATATATATATATATATATATATATATATATATATATATATATATATATATATATATATATATTAACTCTCCCAAATCTGCTTATAAGCTTGAATTTTAGAATATCTTATTATTTTAATGTGCATGTCTATAGTTTATTCAATCTGATCATTGACTAAAACATTAAGAATAACACTCTTCATTCTTCATTGAGGTCAACGCCATCAAATGTGTCTCACAATGATAAGCTGGAGAGTCTACTTACACTTGGTATAATGGTTTGTATATATAACCTTCACAGAAAATTCATTTCACCATCAAAGGAATGTATTTACTGGAATACCTGCATCTATCTAAAAGACCTGCTAAGAATTTGATACAAGCATTTGCTGAGGGTGAAATAGCTCAGATACAAACTAAAACAAGCAAAAGAAACCCAGTTTTGTTGAGTCCTCCTTTTCACAGAAAAGTCAAACACAAAATACCTTCATTCTATTAAGAAGTTAAAAAAAAAAGAAGAAGAAAATGTGATACGTAGAAACTAATACAATGCTATGGAAGGGTTAGCTAGCTGAGGCTGTGCATTGAATCAGTAGCCAAGATGGAAAGTTAATTTTCTGATTTCTCATGCCCTGATTCTACCTCGTTAAAATAAAATGTCCTGCAAGGCATGGGGCTAAGCATATTATGAATGTATTAAATGATAATGATAGCATAGGAACAAGGTCACACAGACATCATGACTGAAATTGTAAGAAAAAGAAACAGTTGAATGTGGTCTGCTGCTTAAAATTCAACAATTACACTTTTTCCTTCTTTTTAAAAAAAATTGCTTGGGGGAATGTGCACTCACCAGAGACAGAGAGACAGAGACAGAGAGATACAGAGAGGAAGGAGGAGAAAGCACCCCCATTGGAGAAGGGTCACACTGCAATCCCTTTTCCTTTATTTCACTGTCCTGTCGGGATTTTGGACACACAGACATGAATGTTGAGAGACATGCCGTATTTCTCAAACCACCAGGCAGTCAGTCGCATGGGTTCCAGCTGCCTTAACCACTGGCCACAGAGCTGGCGCAACAAGTATACCTTTTAAAATACATGTTTTATAAAATATACTAATTGAAAAAACTCTTAAATAAAAACGTGTGTGCTACATGAAAATGTTAGCTTGATTGTTCCTATCGGTCATGTTTGTTGCATACCTTGCAATGAGAAGGTTTTAACTGAGGCGAAGTGCCTTTAACTGTCTATGTTTTCTTTTTTTTTTTTTCCCTTTCTTAGATGGTTTGAGGGCTTTAATTGGGAAGGCTTAAGAAAAGGCACCTTGACACCTCCCATTATACCAAGTGTAAGTAGACTCTCCAGCTTATCATTGTGAGACACATTTGATGGCGTTGACCTCAATGAAGAATGAAGAGTGTTATTCTTAATGTTTTAGTCAATGATCAGATTGAATAAACTATAGACATGCACATTAAAATAATAAGATATTCTAAAATTCAAGCTTATAAGCAGATTTGGGAGAGTTAATATATATATATATATATATATATATATATATATATACTATATGTGTGTACACACACGTGTATGTGTGTGTGTGTGTGTTTTACTTTTGTCTTTTGTAACTATTCATTGTAATTCAAGTTTCTTTTATTTATGAATGAAAGTTAACTTTTAGAAGGGTAAATCTTAAACACATACAGATACAGAGAGACGAATATCATGAATCTGCACCAACCAGTTCCAGTAGCTATCAATTCCTGGCCAGTGTAGTCTCATTTCTGTCCACGCATAGTTCCTCTCTGCCTCACCTCCATTCCTCTGAAGCGGTCCCAAACATAATTGTGTCCTTTGATCAAGCTCTAAAACAAACAAAAATATTTTTCATAATATTCTTTTCTATTTTATTTATTTATTTAATTTATTTATTTTAGAGAGATTTTTGTTACAGGGTGCGTGCACTCCCTGGAGAGACAGAGATTGAAAGCGAGAAATCGCCCCCTGAGGAAGATGGCCATGCTGCAATCCCTTCTCTTCTTTTCTCCTCTGGGGATCTTGGGTATGCACACACACATAACTGGTATGAGTTTTAAGGTGCTGGATATGGGACTTGAACCACCTTTAATTATGTGGGAGTCCAGCAATATAGCCATTACAGCACTGTTGGTTCCAATAGTACTCTTTTCTTAATACATCATGGTTTTGGGTTTTAAATACTGGTCTAAGTGAACTGTTTACACTACTATTAACCTAAAATAAACTGCATTTATACCTTTATTCATTTATACATCTGTTTAATAAAATGTGCTGCATCTTAAGGAGAGAAAGCTACTTTGTGTTCCTGGGACTTTCACTTACATTCTTCCTCTCTTTAGGACTAAATCAAGATGATGCTTTAAACAGAAACATGTCCCCTACTTCTAAGATTTCCTTCTGTGCTAATCGTTTATTCATAAATGAAAGAAAAAATCATTACCACGTTTAAGATTACAGATGTTAATTGCATCCATGAAGTTTTGTTTTAGAACAAGAGTAGAAAGAAATTGAGAGGGATAGATATTAAACCTAAATTATCCTAACTAAATGTATCAGGTGTCTTTTTTATGCAATAGTAATATTAAATGAGCTTTTAATTACACTTTGCTGATTGGACCATGCCCAGTGAATTTTCAAGAGTTTTCTTTGGTTTAGACATAGCTTTGTGGTGGGGCCAGCAAGTGGCATGGTGATTAAGGGCATTGGACTCCTACATGGCTGGACTCCTACATAGAGTCCAGCAACATAGCCATTATACTAACTGCTGGTCCCACACAAAATTCTGAAGATGGCCCACTTATCCATCGTGGCCTCATCCTACTCTCCTCCTACTTATAGAGCAGTCATATTGCCTCTTCTGGTTACTTCAAAGAATGGAGCTCACTCTCACCTCAGGACCTTTGCATACGCTATACTGAATTGAACTCACTGATTCTTAGATTTAAAATTACACTTTTTTGAAGAGGCTTTACATGATCTCTCATACTCTTCATGGAACCTTGTTGTTTTTTTTTTTCTTTCTTTCATAACACTAGTCAAATATGTAATTACATACGTATAATTACACCTTGTTATTTGTTTTAACCACACAACACATTCTTTGATGGATCCATGAGAATAGGATAGTGTCTGTTTTTACTCACCATGGTTACCTCCAATCTGAACACAGTGCCTGCTACGTAGTAGACACTCAAAAATAAAACAGTCATTGAAGAGGGAGTGACTAAAGGATGCTTTTACAAATTCGAGGCTGGAATTCTGCCAAAAAGTCAGACACATTTAGTAAAACGTTCATTCTCTCTGGTGTACAGGTCGCATCACCCACAGACACAAGCAATTTCGACAGCTTCCCTGAGGACAATGATGAACCACCACCTGATGACAACTCAGGCTGGGACATAGACTTCTAATGCATTTCTCTTACCTGCTTCTGCCTTGCTGAAGACAGCTTTTTCCGAGACACAGCTGCCAGCACAGAAGAGAGAAGATTAGTGCTCGGGGTCACCATGATGCCTTCGATCGATGCTGCTCCAGTAACTCCAGTGGCATTAGGACTTATTGCTTAGATGACAATAGTGCTCTTTACATGTTTTCTGTTTGAACCTAAAACAGCAGTTGACATGGTGGTCCTGAAGCAAAGCCTTTCACCTGTTAAGAAATGTTTTCTATTGTTGCAATGATCTTGCTTTGCTCTGATTATAATTTGAAAGACTGTAGGAAACACTCCAATCTAGTGAAAGAGTCTGAACCTTGCTAGAATGATCAAGAAGATGAAAGAATAATATATTTGGGTACGAGAGATTCCTATGGTACAGAAACTGGGCTATTCCCTTTCTTCAAGTGAAGATTGGGGGATAGATGACCCACCGCAAGCCGGTGTAAATACCGAACGCAAGAGGACCACACACCTGTTGGTCAGAGTCATGTCAAACCAGTGCTAGAAGTTTCATGATTTTATTTTCCAGCAGTGCTGATGACAAGACTGAATGTTACCTTTTCTTTCTGACAGATTTTAAAAATTGATATGATAAAAGCACAACTGCTATGGATTCTGAGACCTCTCATAGCAGGTATACATGCGTTTTCACAGAGGATTGAAAAAAATGCATGATATTTGTTTGTTTCTTTTTGATAAATTGGCATGACAGAATGGAAAAAAGCAATTCACAAAACCATTTCATATTTTAAAAAATATTGTGCATATGGATGGTCCTGGAAATAAGTGACTAGCAGCCAATTGGTTTTATTTGTTACCTAACATACCCTCAAACTGAGGATTAAAATAATCCCTTTTATAAAAGTAAACCCTTGAGTGGGGTTGGGGTGGGGTGGGGAGGGGATTAAGACCCATCCAAAAAAATTTAAAACTATATAGGTGCTATGTATATCTTTCATCTGTAAATGTCAGTGTCTGAATAGACAACAGATTCTAATCATTACATGTGTAGCCAGAGATTCAAGCATTTTCACTAAATTTATTCAACCAAACTCCTGTCAGATTTCACTTATACAACATAGGCTAGGCTTGAGAAAGAAAGATGATTAAAAATGTATTTGAACTAGCTTCTTGTCTTAGGCCTGAACCAAAAAAGAAAAAAAGAAAAAAGAAAAGAAAGCATGCACAAAGTTTAGTTATTCAAATTAGCAGACCAGGAACTTTACCTATTTGAGGTCAGGAAACAAGATAAGAATCTGGCCTAGGTGTTGATCACCTTTTTATGAATGAATTGAGGTGAGTCCATGTACTTGTCAAAATAGGAATAGAGAGGAAAACAAGAACCTGACTTCTTAAAAATAACTTTCAGCTAAATCAATTGGAAATATTAGAAGTCTGAAATGTTATACTTGCTAGAAAAGACTAGAGTTGAAAATATCAAAAGGATTTGCTTTTTTTCCACATGAGAAAAGAATCAGCAGATTAAACTGTCCTTTGTTGGCAGGCTTGGTGACTGTGATTAACTGTCATAAATAACAAAGGCATTTGGAACCTTGTGCTGGACAAATAGCATTAGACCTACACAGACAATTGCATAACCTGCCATGCTGTCATTCCTGATTTAAAACTGTGTGCAAATTCAATATAGTAGAGGGTCACTCTTTTTCAATGGAGAGTTCCCCCCCCAAAAAATAATCAAATATAGATATTTCTGCCAAAACTCTGTCCCACTAGACAATTATACCCTAGTCAAAAAGGCACATACTAGGAATTTTATTTGAATATCTCATACTCAGAACTACTTTAAAATATAATATTTTATCAAAATATAATACTCTAAAATCTGGAGGGTAGAAGTACCAAGGATATATTATAAATATAATTAGAATGAAGTTCAATGAAAACTTTGATCCTGAGATGTTATTGTTATTCTTGTGTTTGTGGCATTTTCCCTTCCTGAAAAACTCTTGAAATCAATCTGTTCCCCAGGATAGCTATTCCTACAGATTTTAGTATATAAAATGACAGATATCAACCTGAAATTCAGCTATAAATGCTGTTTCAGGACTTCTATATTCCTTTTAATCAGGTTTTTAAAACTATATGATTCCAACAATGCTCATTTTGGTTGAAAGATAATGTGATTTAAGATGATAAAGGCTTGCTAGAATATTAAATTTACCTTGTCATGAGGAAAGAATACCTGCTCCTGCAACTTTTTCAATTTCCCCAAAGCCCCAGAGTTTAGCCCTTACTGTGGATTTGGGAACTACGGTTCATGTCTAAGACAACCGGCACGTATGAGTTCTATCAAGAAGGAAGAAGTAGCATTCAGCGTGGTGTAACTGAACGTCGTTCCTTCCAGCTGTTTCAGCATCTTTGTTTCATTTCACCTGTACATTGCATTAGGCTGTCTACAGCAATCACCAAAAAAAAATGAAGGTGAACTACATCTTCCAAGAATTACTAACAGACACCATTCATCTAACTTTCAACATTGAATTTTAAGGATTTAAATCTTGTCTCAATGAAGACACTAGGGCTAAAATTTGTGGTCAGCTTCCTCAAGTGCATCTCACTTTATTTCCGAATTATCCATGCCCCTTCTATTTTCTCACACTGAAGAAACCCTGGATAAGTTAGGACAGTGCCAAGGTGTTTGAATCGTTGAGTTTCTTATGGGTGCTTTGCGTATAGAAAATAAGGGTTTTCTGTGTGTCTTGACTCACAGGAAAGCTGAAAACTGCCAAGAGAGAGAACATCCTTATAGTTGAGATAGACTGAACACATTAGAAAAAAAAAAAGATTTCTGGAAAATTGCTCTTTCTTAATGATTTTTATGTTTGTATTTTCTTTGTTATTAAGATAGGAATCAGATCCACATAACATTTCCAACCAATTCATGTCGATTATATTCTTTGCAAGTCGTCATTTTTCCATAAAATTGTGGAATATGCATGTGAATGCCACATGCCACATAATCTAAACTCAGCTATGGAATGTGTCTTGTTTCATGTTTAATGACTGAACTGATGAACTAAAAGTTGAAGTCAGCTACCACATGGGAAATAAGGATAGAAGACCTGATTTCATGCAGTGGAGGTGATCTGTGCATTATCCATAACAATGTTTTCTCCCACGATAGGACCACAGACAAACATTTATGTAAATAGATACTTTTCGGGTGATATTTTGTGGTACATTTAACTCTTTTTTAGTGTTTCACAGCATTATTATTTCATTTTATTTGTATTGAATAATGTTTTTAGGTCCAAGTAGACTTGAATTAATGTCATAATTGTCAGTATTATTGAAAATTATGTCAACTGTACTGTTATTCATCCGTCCCATAGTTTAGAACATGACCTGGCTATCCGGCATTGTTGCAAGTGCCTTAAATCCATGGCATCCTATTAAAAAAAAAAACAGATTTGGTGTTATGCTGCATGACAAAGACAAACACACCTCAAAATGTTGTCCTTTCTTAGCTTGCTGCGTTTTACAGTTCTTTCTGCTAACAATTTATAAGCCTTTATTATATAATATTGATGAATTACAGAAATGATGAAGTTGTTCTCTTATTTCTGTTACATGTACCAGAGCTGTGGATCTGTTCATGAGATACAGCGTCATTTCTGTGAAATGTATAAATGTATGTGCAGGTCAAATTAATATATGACATACTATCAGTCTGTATACAGGTATTCCTGTTTTGCTCAGCTGTGCAGATTCAGTAACAAATTAGTGCAGTCAAGTTCTAACATCTCTCATTTTATAGACTCCATTAACAACAGCCCAACCCAAAAGAAAAATCGGAAATGACTGCCCACCACAAACCAATGATGAACGAGTACCTTGGTGCACCACTTAACAAAACAGGAGTCTGAGTTCTTGTATATGCAAATAATTCATAAGGCAAGTTTTCAACAGACCTAGAAAGCAAAACATTGCAAGTGTGTCCTCAGCCCTCCTCTTTACCTGCCCCTGCATCAACAGACAGAGCTCTGGGACCCTGAAAATGACTCAGAGGTTTGGGCTTTCTGAGAATAGGGACATTTCTTTAAGCATCATCTATCAAATTTATTTCAATGTATGATGTTTTTACAACCGGTCAGTTCTTTTGTATTCTTACAGCTATGGTTATTTGATTGTCTTCTTACAATTTGTTCTACATGAAAGAGTCCTTTGTCAGTCAGAATGCAACAAACTGTCATCAAATGGTCATTGACCACTTGCACTCTTTTGATGTAGATTAAAAACTTTTTCATAAACTTAACCTGCTTTGATTTGCTCTGTATTTTTCCTGCAGCTGTAATTGCCGAGTGCCTGTTGTATACTTTATAGAGTTGAAATAAAAAAATAATTACTTTTGAACCTAGTTGATGTTTAATTCAAGACAACAGTCTAAGCATAGAATTTGCATATCATATTATTTATAGAATTGTAATACCATGTGGTGCTATTGTAGAAAGTCACTATGACAAGACAGAAAAGACACACAACCTAAGCATCCTTCATGAAATAATAGGTTATGGTCTAATATTAAGTTAAGCCAACAATTTGGCTCAGAGAACTCAATGGGAATAGTATTGGACCATCCAATATGAACAGTGAAGCAAACAGATACCCACACAAAGAACCTCCCCACAAAGATCCCCCAAGTGTACCACCAGCAACACTGCCACAAGCTCCTTTGGCCCTCCCTCTAGACAGGCTTTGAACTAGGCCAACCACAAAAGGGACAATTCTTATATATTACTGCATGCTTGGAGGGAATCGCTTCATGTGAAAAGCAACTTCATGAGTCTAAGTTGTGTTCGCCTGATCCCTCTGTTAAACTTCCTATGCATAATGAGTATATATTGGACAACACTATCACAACACAACCTGCCCTCTAAACCTTGGTAGCATGTTCTTCCCACATCCCTTTGTTCTTCACTGCAGTAAATGGTGCCCTTAACCAGATTCCCTCCGTCTGATTGCTGTTGTCTGTTGACATCCCAGCGGGGTGACGAGCTGAAAATCCTTATTT